ATTAAGGCTATGAAAATGAACAGTATATTTCAGTGATATTTCTTCTAACATACCAATAGTGAGGAGAAATGCCGTTTCAAGACTAACGGCATATACATATCTACATTAACGTTGTAAATAAGGTGAGGTGAGGTGAAATTGGGTTTAACGTCGTGCTTGAGAATATTTCACTCATATGACGACGTGCATGCGTGTGTATGTGTATGTGCGGCTGCTTGTACTAGCCCAGACTGAAGTTGGTTTTATATTGCTAGCCCACTGAGATACCATGCCGCAGTGAAGCATGAATACCCCACTCAGACACATTATACTGACTCCGAGCCGACCAGTCCTTGTTGTACCCATTAATGCCGAGCGCCAGGCAGGGACCAACAAGTACCATATTTTAACGTCTTTTGGTATGACGCGGTCGGGGATCGAACCCGCGACCTTCCGCTCTCCGGGCCGTTGTAAATAAGACCTAGTTGAAACATTAGATAGTTAATTCACAATACGAAGGAAATCTAGTTCTGGTAGGTAATTAAGATCGGTAATTGTTGGAAATCTGAGGAAAATCTGGACCTGGTGCATTTGCACTAAAGCAATGCATCATGTTTACGAGAGAAGTTGTGGTGTGTGTGTGTAGGGGGGAGGGGGGGGAGGACGAGGAAGGGTGTGAGTGTTAGTACATTCTGGATCGGAGTCTGACAGACAAGGCAACTGGCTATAAATAGCTGCTCCAACTCGCAATTCATAAGTTATGGTGTTCTCGTGTGTGGTATGACAGTGAGGTAATCGTGTGATTATCTCGAGACCGTTTGAGAGACCACCCACTGATCTGGAGTGAGGTATAGACATTGTGACAAGTGCCCTAACTGCACCAGTAGGACTGAATTAGGTTTAACGTTCACAACTGGATTATGTTAGCAGAAGAATTGGGTTTCAACGTAATGAAACGTGCCAGTTCAGCCATTTGAATCGCCCCTTGTCCGTTTTGACTAACATCTAGTCTCTGAAATAAACATGTGTTACAGTTCCTAATATGTATATTCATAAAACATAATTAAAAGGAGCCCATGGACCTTTTTCATTTCCTCACACTATGAGTGAGTGAGTGAGTTTAGCAATATTCCAGCTATATGGCGGCGGTCTGTAAATAATCGAGTCTGGACCAGACAATCCAGTGGCCAACAGCATGAGCATCGATCTGCGCAAATGGGATACGGTGAGATGTGTCAACCAAGTCAGCGAGCCTGACCACCCGATCCCGTTAGTCATCTCTTACGACAAGCATGGGTTACTGAAGATAAATATTCTAACCCGGACCTTCACGGGTCTGATAATTTAGAAACATCCTTCCTTTTCAGAAGAAGTCTTCCTTGGAGTACTCTAGGGGGTACTTTTTTCACCGCAAACATGTGTAATGGCCATGCAAAAAGTTTTGAAAATATATATAATTGTATATTTTTTTAAAACAACAAACTTTTATTGATGCGGTATGCAGTGGTGAGCGTATTACCTCCCTTTTATGAAACCTCGTGGCTAGGGTTTACCCAACATGCCATACAATTTCCTCTTTTTCTAGACCATCGCTGACGTCAGACGTGTTTTCTCCGACAGCGTCGCAAGCCAACCGAATCTAAGCTTTCTAAGTCATCATGTCGCAAGAATCATCTGTATGTAGTCCTTTATCCTTTTTGGAGAACGTTTTACGTTCGCCGTCGTGGAATCGCATTCAATATTAATATTTTCCGTGCTTTTTCTTAAACGCCAATGTGCAGGGTCAAACTAATGTCAGTACACCCTCGCTCTTGGCCTATAAGTATATTCTTGTTTGGTGCATTTTTTATTCAAATTGTTTTTTATGCACCTCTTACTTCTCTACACTTAGTGTAAATATTATATACATTCTCTACAATTATATAATATACTGTCGTGTAGTTGGCGAGATTTCACGAGATGTCGGCGATCTTGGGTCCGCCATCTTTGTTGTTTACATGTCTTACGCTACATTTTTACTCCCTTTGGGAGTTTTCTGTCGTGTGTAAACTATATCTCCATAATTTTAGCACATATATATAATGTATATATAATGTATGTTTTACATGTTGCCTTTTGCTTATCGTTTTAGTGTATATGACCACACGACTGTAGATCTTTCATGTACAGCCTTAGAATAACGAACCCGCTGCCTGCACGTTTTTCGACATACGAATAACGAAACACGAATCCGCTGGGATTAAAGGCTTCTAATACATATTATTCCATGTCTGAATAGCAAACCGGGTGCTGGTTAGCTTAAATTGTATGTGATAGAACTGATGGGCATATAGTGAATAACGAACCCGCTTCTAGCACATTATTCGTTATTTGAAAAACGAATAGCCGTGTTTCCATGCGCGTGTAGTGCGTAGTACGTGATGCGTAATGTACAAACAACACTTTATACTAAACAGCGATAGCCGTTTCCACACACGCCTGCTGCGTAGTACGTGATTTTGCCTACGCAATACGCATCACGCAGCTATACGGAGACCGGAAGTAGGGATTCCCAAGGGTCTTCCCAATGTCACGTGGTTTGTAACAAAAAAACATTCAAACTGAACTTGCTCAATCGAAAGAATATCTGGAGCTGTTCAGAGTGGAGATGCAATTCCTTTATGAGATGCTCAAAAATGCCAAATTTCCTTCTGTCTCAGGAGTTCATGCACCCACTACAGGTGCCTTCGTCTTTTTGTGGGTTTTTTCACATAACAGTATAATGAACCTGCAAAAATCACATCCTCTTCATCCTCAGTTAGTTCTCAAGCGTTCTTTGCAAAACAAGGCGGCATTGTAGACAGCAGTTGTGATCAGTCCGAAAAGTACTTGATTTAACGTATCACATAGCCTTTATACACGTACACATGGAATTGGATTCTACGCACACGTTATACGCACTACGCATCACGCAATTACGCAGACAACACGTACACATGGAATTGGACACTACGCACACGTAAAACGCACTATGCATCACGCAATTACGCAGACTACGTACAAATGGAATTGGACACTACGCACACGTAATACACACTATGCACTATGCATCGCGCAATTACGCGGACAATGGAAACCGAAACGAAAAAACGAACCCACTGCTAACTTCAGGCTGCCACGTACGATCACCTCAGCAATAGAGCGGTGGGGTAGCCAATTGGTCATAGCGTTCGCTCGTCACGCCGAAGGCCCGGGTTCGATTCCCCACATTGGTACAAAGTGTGAAACCCATTTCTGGTGTTCCCCGTCGTGATGTTGCTGGAATATTGCTAAAAGCGGCGTAAAATCATACTCACTCACTTCAGCTATAGACCGCTTTGTTGAACGTACCCTGCGCCACTTGCGTGACATAAACATAGCATTACAATAACATGATAAAAAAGACATCTTGAAGCTAGTCATGTGTGTTTCAGAAGCATTGTGTGACATTATCCTGAAGTCCATGTTATCTAGCTCGTCCTAGGGTGTTTTTGAAGCTTCATCCTTACAACGCATTCTCCTGCAACCTTCAGATCCATCCACAGAAGGGATCTCTTTGAATTCAATTCTCAATAATCCGAAGGATCGATCCGTGAAGAAATTGTTCAGTTCAAACGTATGTTTCAAAGAGATGGGACTTATGTTTTATTTACACGAGGCTGCTTTGAGAACGACCTCGTAATCATCTCCATGGTGACACAGAACAGTCTCTCACCTGTTTCCAAGTAGTCATACATCTTTCCTTCTTCACTACTCATAATTGTAAATCTTAGTTTGTTAGTTTACTTCTTATGAATGCATTTTGTGGAATGATAATAATACAGTAGATTTCTAATGCCCCCAAACAAAACAACCCCAAACCCAAAACAATACCCGCCAGGCTCTTTGTGCCTGCGCATAACACTAAACAAAATTAAAACACACTGACGTAGAGATGCTCTATTTTGCATTTCTAATATTCCGGTATATCATTATCGTCAGTTGTGATAGTACTGTTATTATTTGTATTGTAATAGTAGCAGAAGTAATTGTAGTAGGTGGTTGAGGAGAAGTAATAGTTTTTGTTTGTTTATCAATTTTGTTTATGGTTGTGGTTTGCAATGGTCATACTATATGACGGTAGTACAAAAAACGCGAGTCGGGACCAGGAAGTCCACAGATTGACATCATGAGTACAAACCACGTCAGCGAAACTGACCACCCGTTCCCGTTTGTCGCCTGTAACGACTTTGCTGAAGATAAACCGGTAACCTAGTAGTAGTAGTAACGGTAGTAGTAGTAGTAGAAGTAGTAGTAGTAGTAGTAGTAGTAGTAGTAGTAGTAGTAGTAGTAGAGTGAGTTATTATTTAACGTCACATCGGCAATATTTTAGCCATATCGTGACGAGAACACATGTGACACCGAAATGGAATAGATGTAAACTATAAAAACCTGTCGACGAAGGACAGTAAAACAACTAGAAGATCACAATTACAACTAAAACTAGTGTGGAAAATTAAAATTAATAGCACTATTTGGACGATACAATATAAAAACTGGCTATAGATCGCCAACAACTGAAGGTAGATCACCAAACTAGGGACAATGGGGACCAGTAGTAGTAGTAGAAGAAGTAACGGTAGTGGTAGTAGCAGTGGTAGTAGTAGTAGTAGTAGCAGCAGCGGTAGTAGTAATAGTAGTAGTAGTAGCAGTGGTAGTGGTAGTAGTAATAGTAGTAGTAGTAGCAGTGGTAGTAGTAGTAGTAATAGTAGTAGCAGTGGTAGTGGGGGTGGTGGTGGTAGTGCCACCAGCAGCAGTAACGATACTTCTTGTCCTTTTATTCATGTGTCATCAAGGACAAAAAAGTTGTCTAAAGACGTTATGCATAAAAGATATCAAACCAATGTGCCTGTGTGGACCTTAACTTCTGAAAGTCAATACATACACCTGAATATTCTTAGGTCCTATATGTTTATAAACAAATGTATACATGATTTTCACATTTGTACAAAGAACCTACTTACCTGAATAAACGAAAACGTGACACGCTTGCACAGTATGCTCACCGTAGCTATATCCGAATGAGAATGTCGGGAGAACACAGAGGCGTGGCGAAACGCCTTCAGACACCGGTACCGCTGTCTAGCAGGAATACGTGTTTGAAGGTTGAAACATTCCTGTCAGTGTCGACACAACATCATATTATCTTCCAGAAAGCAGAGCCGTAACTCGCCTACCGCAGATCGATCATCGTCCTCCGATTCACTCTTTGACTACCGCGAAAAACAAGCTCAATCGCTTGAACGTCGCTAGCACTTCGCAGCTCAATACCGGAAAAACTGCGAAAGTGCCAGCTGCCTGGTTATCAGCGCGTGCTTGGCTGGTCTTCTCACAAACACATTCGGCTGTTGGTTTCGAACTATGGCCATTCTTCCTGAATACGGGACGTTTATAAAGGACGTTGGTAGCGGTGCCTGGCTTGGTGATGGGAATTATCGACCAGGGTACTGTAACTTCGTCGTGTGTGCACTCTTAGTTGACGTTGTAATTGTCAGCACCTGCAATCATATTGTGGACGGGATCGGATTAGATCGGCGTCAAGTGTACAAATGGTTTTGATTTTTCAATTATTGTTAAAATGTTTTACTTAATCATCTCAAGCTAAATGCCACACGGAATGGGTGTGAGTATTCGATATCAAAGGTTTATTTTTCTCAATGTTCTGCTCCGTTAGGAATTTGTCAAGCAAGTAAATGGTTTTAATTTTTCAATTATTGTTATTATGTTTCACTTAATCGTCTTAAGTTAAATGCTACACGGAAAGAGTGGAGCATTCAAAATCAACGGTGTTTTTTTTAATGTTCTGCGACTTCTGGTCCGAGACATGAAAACAGCTCACATTGTTTTACAAAATGAACATATTTCCCTGCCGTTGTGTTTTACTTACAAGAAAACTTGTGTACTCACGCCTACACAATGGCCGTAAGCGTTTATGCATAGTTGACATATTGTTTTTAGTTTTTAAAAAGTCAGTAATGCGCTATCGAGTCACTGGACTTTCTGGTCCATTGTTTCTTTTGAATACAGACATGACAGGTGTAAAACTGTATCATATAAAAAAACAAACACTGGACATTTGTAATGCAAATTGTGTATTGGTGGTGCTTCCGATAGAGCAGCACATTTTTAAACATTTCGTACACGCTTCGTGAACACCTGGTGTCATCACTGGTTTTCCTTTCATATAATTTTCACTGCTATTTTGCCAATTTTCAGCCCACTATCATCTAATCTATTTCAGTGGGCAATCGAGACTTTTATGCCCGAGTGTTCTCGCTTTATATGTAACTAAATCTCGGACGTAACGAGATTGTGGATAAGGCCGGACAAACGCAGCTTTTGACAATATAACGGCGTGTTTTATTCCTCTGGGATGACTTAAAGTGACACGATATCATGTTTAACACGTAACATACGACCAACCATCAGAATCTGGATCAGTAAATGGACGAGGGATGCAACTATGTCAGACATCCATGATGAATCTGGAATAGGATCAGTAAATGGACGATGGATGCAATTATGTCAGACATTCAAGGTGAATCTGGAATAGGATCAGTAAATGGACAGGGGATGCAACCATGTCAGACATTCAAGGTGAATCTGGAATATGGATCAGTAAATGGACGATGGATGCAATTATGTCAGACATTCAAGGTGAATCTGGAATAGGATCAGTAAGTGGACGATGGATGCAATTATGTCAGACATCAATGGTGAATCTGGAATAGGATCAGTAAATGGACGGGGGATGCAATTATGTCAGACATTCAAAGTGAATCTGGAATAGGATCAGTAAATGGACGGGGGATGCAACTATGTCAGACATTCAAAGTGAATCTGGAATAGGATCAGTAAATGGACGATGGATGCAATTATGTCAGACATCGATGGTGAATCTGGAATAGGATCAGTAAATGGACGATGGATGCAATTATGTCAGACATCAATGGTGAATCTGGAATAGGATCAGTAAATGGACGATGGATGCAATTATGTCAGACATCAATGGTGAATCTGGAATAGGATCAGTAAATGGACGATGGATGCAACCATGTCAGACATCCATGGTGAATCTGGAATAGGATCAGTAAATGGACGGGGGATGCAACTATGTTAGACATCCATGGTGAATCTGAAATAGGATCAGTAAATGGACGGGGGATGCAACTATGTTAGACATCCATGGTGAATCTGGAATAGGATCAGTAAATGGACGGGGGATGCAACTATGTCAGACATCCATGGTGAATCTGGAATAGGATCAGTAAATGGACGATGGATGCAATTATGTCAGACATCAATGGTGAATCTGGAATAGGATCAGTAAATGGACGGGGGATGCAACCATGTCAGACATCCATGGTGAATCTGGAATAGGATCAGTAAATGGACGGGGGATGCAACTATGTCAGACATCCATGGTGGGGATGACATCATGGTGATCTGGAATAGGATCAGTAAATGGACGGGGGATGCAACTATGTCAGACATCCATGGTGAATCTGGAATAGGATCAGTAAATGGACGGGGGATGCAACTATGTCAGACATCCATGGTGAATCTGGAATAGGATCAGTAAATGGACGATGGATGCAATTATGTCAGACATCCATGGTGAATCTGGAATAGGATCAGTAAATGGACGAGGTCTACAACTTCTTTACGTAGGTAAAAGCACGCGGATTACGGAATTATGGGACAATGGCATCCAAACGAGCATATTGCATATGATATTTATGTATTGTCTATATTATATCACTTAACAACATGGGCTTAGAAATCCAGTTTGTCCTAGAAGTGACCAGTGGTGCAATATTTGTTGGTACAGCAATGTTGTCTCGATTATGGCATGAACGATCATAAAACAAATCACCAACTTATAACAGATAACAGATGTCTGCGCACTGTCGTACGTTTCACATGTATATGTAGCGAATGTATCGTCGGATAAATATAGCAAATGTCACGTAATCCCATAATTCCGTAACCCGCGTGCTTTTACCCCTGCGTGAAGAAGTGGGTTCGAATTGTCCTTATGGTAAAATGCGACCTAAGTTCGGCCTCACTGACTTGGCGGATGCATATCATGCTATTAACGAACGTCAATGTTCATGTCAATCAAGGTATTGTCTAAATATTTACTATAGCTGCGCAATATAACCGGTTTGCCGGTATTTACCGGTTCAGACATGAAAACGATACGTATTGCGATACGCTGATCGAAAACCGTTATTTTGACTTGCATTCGGAAAACTTCGTAACACTCGGAAATGTTCGGATATGTCCTTGTTTCATTTGTGCCAAATAGTATTTTCATTTTTATTTTATCATGATTAAAAGCCTAGTGATTTTGTTATGTTTTTGCTCTATAAATCAAGAAGTAACTCGATTGTAAGTAGTTTTTTGTTCAAAAATACTTCATGCAATATATTGCAATACATATCGCAATACATGCCTTCGCATCGCAATATATCGCAATATGAAAATTCTCTGCAATATCCACCCCTAATATTATTTACATATACTTACAGACTGCCGTCATGCAGCCGGGATGTTGCTGAGTGTGGCGAACAACAACCAACCAACCAACAAACCAACACCTTGAGTGAGTGAGTTAAAATTTATAATCACTTTGGCAATATTTCAGCCATATCGTGACTCCCAACACCTTGTCTTAACTGAGCAAAGTGGTAACGGCCCCCACTCCTCACCACATACAGTCTTAAGATGCCACCTCACAGCTGTAAAAACTAAAACATTAAGGCTCAAGTATACATTGAGTGAGTGAGTGAGTTAATATTTAACGTCACATCGGCAATATCTCAGCCATATCGTGACGAAAACAATTTATACCGTAAAAAGTGAAAACATTTTGAAGATTAAAACCTGTCGACGATGGACAGTAAATATACTAAATAATCACAGATATAATATAAAACTAGCGAGCAAAGCTAAAACATTCCAATTAAAGAAGACAATAGAATATAAAACACGGGCTATAGATCGCCAACAACTGAAGGTAGAGTATACATTGAGATTGATAATGTAGAATATATCTATGTATATCCAGAAACGTCTTCCCAGGGCAAACGTGTAGATCTGCCTGTATCTAAAGTTTTCACCATTTCAAGCCTACCTTTCAGTACCTAATCATGAGTGGACTCAACATCGAATGCCCTCTAGCGTGTTACAAAACCAACATCCGTATTTTGAAACCAAGCCACAGCCTTCGCTTGTCGAATTTGAGATGGCATTATTCCAAATATAACCTAAGGCAAGTGTGTTTGAAGCTGTTCTAAGTTTTCAGTCTACTCCACCAATTACATTCACATATGTGAGAGCACATTTCACTGCTCTTCAACTAAAATGTGTCTGAAGGTCTATCGCAGTGACTGAGATGCACCCACTCAGTCGGGAAGTGCAGTGTTACTTGGTGTTGTGTAGTGGCACTAGCCTGTATTCCTGTACTATCTTAAGACTGAAATAATAGCTGTCTATACTATGGCAACTGTCAGGGATTTTTTGTCTGACGAAGTCTCAAATGTTGCAAGGTCGTCCGCCCTAGTTGTCATTGCGAAGAAATTCGAAATAATAACAGCGATCCGATTGGATATCATCAGAAGGAAAACAACTCGAGTTCTGCATAGGGTGGCGCCACTGTCGAGTGAGTGAGTTAAAAGTTTAGCGTTATTTCAGTCATACAGAGAGGATAGCAATCCCACACAAACACACGCCCATTATAAACACAAACTCACACTCAAGAGCAGGTTTTATACACACATTTGAACATTACAATATTATTGATAATATAAAACCCAGGTTATGACAATATCATTTACAATATGAAAGACGTGGTTTATGCTCAAACGTAAAAAACAAACAATTAGTTGTATCGTGGGACCCTCTATCATTGCGGTTGTTAATGTTGTCGCCATCGGGATTATGAACGGCTACTGACCTTTAGCATTTTATATATATATTCAGTTGACTGATGTTTAATCTTTATTTCTGTCTCAAATAATATGACACATAGTCGCAACTCGTTTAATACCATTGCGGCAATTCCGATTGTCTCGTTTGACCCGGAAATTGAAGCAACTCTCTATTATCGTGGTATTGCTATTTTCTTACTATGGCACGCGGTACAAGCAGATGACACTGTGAAAGGTTTACGAAGACAAGTAACGAGTCTAAATAGTGTGATCATTAAAACATATTTAGGAATTGCATTCACATTAGTAATATCATCATGTTTTAACCCAAACATCTGAAACTTCTATTCATTTGGATACAAGGTAACAATAACGTTACAAAATATTGTTTTTCCGCCTTAAAACGTACCATACAAGTTGCTGCCGTGTGTAGAGTGAAGTTGCATAATACGTCACTTCCTGTTATATTTTTAGCACGGAAAATATG